AGGTAATTAATATGCACGGATTTTTACCAAAAACTAATCAAATCTGCGCATATGTTCAGAGCATCTATGTACCAAGTTTCATCAAAATCCAATGAGTGGTTCTTTAGATATCAGTGGAACAGTCATAGAACAGCTAAAAATTAGCTAATTATCATGCAAATTAGGTAATTAACAAGCATGGATTTTTACCAAAACCTAATCAAATCTGCGCATTGGCCCAGAGCATCTATGCACCAAGTTTCATCAAAAACCGATGTATGGTTCTTGAGATAGCAGTGGAACAGTCGGACACACATACATACACACACACAGACACACACTGACACACTAACTGCAAAGACTCCCATTATGTGCTTCGCACATGGGAGTCAAAAACTACTTCCTGTTTAGAAGAAACCCAAAATGGCGACCAAACCACATGACCAATCATAATAAATTTCTCAAACCTAAATCGGCTTCATATGTCGAAGCTAAGTACAAAATATGAGAGCATTTTACTTGGCGGTTCTGAAGAAATGACAAAAACAATCATCAAAATTAGATAATTGAAGATATTACCATGAAATTAACAATCTGAAATAGGTCAACATGTAGTCCCTATATATGTAATATAAAAGCAATTGGAAATATCGAAAGTCGAAAATATCACTTTTTACTAAAAATGACGAAAATTGAAGATATCATCATGAAATGAACAAATCTAATAGAGGTCTACCCAGGGTACATATACAAAACATATCTTGGCATTCAGGCTTGTAGTTTTCAAGAAGTCAAAAAAGTAAAACATTGACACGAACGACGCCTGACAATCACTCAGCGGAGCTAAAAATACATCGTATAATATATACAAATGTTGTTTTTATTGAAAGTATTTTCCAAATACAATATACAGTACCTAGTAAACTAGTATTGTATGTACTGTATATAGCCTTTCTCCGTCGACTACTTCGTCTCACACAGTCAGCATCACCATTCATGTACAGATGTCCTTCTGTCTTTCCTGTTTTTTGACGCGAACTGCACCTAGAATGAAGAACAATATGAACACACTGTTAAGGAGAAGTTTTTATTCTAATCTGTGTAGTCTGAAATAAGTCTGGGCCATAAACTGACCAGAGGGTAAAACCCATTAAACAAGCAACTTTTGTTATCTGGCTGAAACATTAAAAGATAGGTTTCAAGCTATTAAGAAGCTGAAGTTACCAAATTGAGATATTAAAAACGTCAGAGAAAATGTTGCTTGCAAGTATAGGCGAGATGAGATGACTGTGGATTTATATATTCAAAATGTTAGCTATGCATGTACATGTATGTCAGGAGTCAACACAAACCAAACAAACACACACATAGTCCTGAAGTGTTGACTATGATAATCTAGTTTTATCTGGTTTTGCAACCCAAGTAGTTACTACATGCAGGTATGATATGTTTGAGAGCCAAGAGGTAAGAAAATTTATTTTCCGGATTAATGATGACAGGATATCAATCTTGAAATAAAAGGATATCAGGCGTTGAAATAAACTGATTGTGAAAACCACCATCTCCCTATCAATTTTCAATGGTGTTTGTTATGAGTTTGCTTTTAACTTAAAGTCCCCCTCAAATTTGTGATCAAATAATTCATTGTGTTAAAGTATAGAATGCTCATATTGGATTAAAAAAAATTATCATTTTAATATTTCACATATTTTCTTCACACAAAATCTGATTGAAATTGGTTTTTAAAGAAAAACATTGCCCACAAAATCAACCATCAATATAAAAAGCAACGAGTATTGAGAGATATTGCTCTGGAACAGCATTAATTAAAACAAAATCAGCCATTTTGAATACATGTATAATGAATATATAAAATTTGAACATATATTGTAGTCAGTCAAAGCATGTCAGAGATATGGCTCTAGAAGCCCATTAATTAAAACAAAATGGCCACTAGTCAGCCATTCTGATCTAAAAAATAATAACGGGCATCAGGAACCTGTAATGTCTAATGTACAATGTATGTACCAAGTTTGAACAAAATCTATCCAGAAATTCCAGAAATGATTGATATTTGATGATTTTTTTAGCACAATAATGGCCACCATTTGGCCATTATTAATTGGATCGTCAAACCAATATATCTGTATATCTATGACATGATGTGTAATGAATATTATAAATTTGTACATAATCAGTCACAGCAAGTCAGAGATATGGCACTAGAACCACATTTATTAAAACAAAATAGCTGCCAGTCGGCCATTTTGAATCTTATCTGAAAACAAAATGATGTGCATCAAGATCCTATTTATTGTCCAACGTATATACCAAGTTTGAACAAAATCCATCTGTAAACAGTTGAGAAATGCTTGATTTTGATAATTTTTAGAACAAAAATGGCTTCCATTTGGCCATCTTGAATCAGATCGTGTAACAAATTGACGTGCACATGTATAATATCATGTATAATGCATTTCTAAGATACAGGTGTTTGAAGGACACATAGACGGAAGAACAGAGGTCAAAACATAAGTCCCTGTTTTCGGACTGCGTTCGACCGGGGACTAATTAACCAAAAATACTTCACTTCTTATTCAAATCCCTCCTTTTCCAAGTGAATTATGAGTTACTTTTAACCCTTTCCCGGTCAAGTCTGTGAAAAATCGCGTGATTTCACCGTCTGAACTAGCATATGCAATTCTATGTGGAAGCAAATTGTAACCAATCTATTTACATAACAATAAATATTCAAATTGTGGGGAGATGCAGTCTTGTGGACATCTGTTCGTTCAGTATAAATATAGCCTAAGAAAGTGAGATAAAGCCCAGACTCGCTGGGTGCCTCCTTTCCGACACGTACGTAAATATGCCGTCTTTTACAGATAGTAAGTGTTTTATGAAGGCAAGAAGAAAACTGAAGAAAATGCGTCAATAAGTGTTAAGTTTGACATTGACACGACAGATTTTTCACCAGCAAAGCGTGAGAAAAGAAAGAAATCCCAGTGTTCTCCCCAGGCCTCTAAAGCGACACGGTACCGTGACGCTTGGACACTCGCCGTGATGCTTGCCCTTTGTCCGTGACGCTTGGTCACTTGCCCGTGATGCTTATTGCTTTGTTTACAAGTGTCAGTCTCGTCTTGCACGAATTTAAAACAATAACATGTATTGATCGAAAGGTAATCCAGCTTTTGTTAGCCATACAAAGACAGTGATAAAAACAGAAGTCTGCAAGAAGTTGCAAAGTCTTTCAAGGTTGCAGAGCCTCCAAATCCAAAAAAATACTAGAGTAGCAATGATTTGCCCATTGCATGCAACAGCAACAATGTGACAAAACAAGTCACGGCGTACGTCGGGAAGATCAACCCCGATTTGCTGCACTCCGATTTTTTATCACTCAATCGCCGGTGACATTAATTACCCCAAAATTTAAAAAAAAAACAAGTCGCATTGGAAAGAAAACTGTAAATAATTCAACAGCAGACTAGGTTAAGAAAAAACGAACCCTGACCTCTGGAAATACCCCATTCATAGGGTGCCTTAGTACCAAAGAACGCCGCCCTAAGGCGACATAATGCACATTGCAACATTGTGACCGATGCATGCTGGGTTACAGGGATTCTGATCGAGGTAACAAAGATGGCGGCGTAGAGTGCAGAGTTTTTTCGCGATGTTTAATTTAAAAACATCTCGTTGGCGATTTTGACGTAATGCCTATGATAATCGTCAATGAATTGTTTTAATAAACAATTTGTGTATTTTACACCAAAAAGTCAGATACCGATGATCGCAATAGCAGCAGTGAATACCCGTCCAACGCAATGCCGTCAGCTGACAATGTTACGGTGATCGTAGCGTTACTCACAAGGTATATTGCAGTGTTTCAGCCAGAGCGCGGGCTTGCGTCATTTGACGCAAAAAAATAAACATTGTCCCTCAAAAATAAAGGTTTGGATTCACAGGGACGCACTGATACCATTATCCGGAAGCCTGGTTGTGAAGCGTTAGTTTTTTTTTATATATATATAAACATCAGGTTGCATGTGGGAATGTTTTGATTCTGACTTCATTATTGTTTATATTGCCGCACGAGTAAGTGATTTTT